GCGCGCTTGTGTTCTAGACTTCAAAGGTAGCTCGGATGATTATTTACCACTCATAGAATTTGCATACAACAATAGTTATCATGCTAGCATTCAAATGGCACCGTTCGAGGCTTTATATGGTAGGAGATGTAGATCTCCCATTGGGTGATTTGAAATTGGGGAAGCAGAGTTGATAGGGCCAGACCGTGTACATCAGGCTATGGAAAAAGTTAAAATCATTAAGGAGCGGTTGGAGACTGCTCAGAGTCGTCAGAAATCCTATTCGGATGTTCGTCGTAGGGATTTGGAGTTCAAAGAAGAAGATTGGGTATTCTTGAAAGTTTTCCCCATGAAGGGTGTAATGCGATTTGGTAAGAAAGGGAAATTGGGTCCGAGGTATGTCAGACCGAACAAAATCATTCAGAGGATCGGTGAGGTGGCGTACAAGCTTGAGCTACCACCTGAGATGTCATCAGTACACATGGTGTTTCATGTGTCTATGTTAAAGAAAGTAGTTGGAGATCCGACACTTATTGTTCCGGTTGAGACTATTGAGGTAAATGAGAAATCGACTTACGAAGAGATTCTGGTTTCTATTATTGATCGCCAAGTCTGAAAATTAAGAAATAAAGAAATTACCTCCGTGAAAGTGTTGTGGCGCAACCAACAGGTTGAAGAGGCTACTTGGGAGGCCGAGGAAGAAATGAAGAAAAATTATCCTTATTTGTTTGAATAACTATATATTTATAAATTTATGATCTAGGAAAATTATAACACTTACTTTCTATGAATTTTGTATCAACTGTACAATTGGCGTTAAGGGTGTTCCTTTCTGGAAATACATTGCTTATGAGGCCATAATTGGTGTTGTTTTGTATTATGTTACGTTGTTGGATTACCTATATGTTGTTATGATGTATTTCTGGGGCTCTCTGACAGGTGGATAGGCCTAGTTACAAAGGGAACTCTGGCAAAATTTTTGGAAATTTAGGGAGTTAATCAAATTTAGGGTTGCTAGTGTATGGTATGAAAAACTAAGTTGCATAAGATGCTAATAACAGATTTTGCCCCTCATTCGAGGACGAATGATCCTAAGTGGGGTATAATGTAAGGCCCCATAAAATTTTACAAAAAAAAATAATATTTTGTGGTGCCGAATTGGTTTTTACGTGTTGAGTATTATAGAAATTCTTCGTGGCGAGCTTGCGAGCCGCGGCTCAAACTTTTTGGGTTGAACAATGCACCGGAAAGTAAAGGAAATTTTTTGGCAGAAAAGTGCATTTTTACTGTCCATTATGCGACCGCAGAACCATTCTGCGGGCCGCATAATGGCCGCAGAGTGAGGCAGTTAATTGAGTCAGTTGGAAGCAGCTATGCGGTCGACTATGCGATCACATAACTGTTATGCAGTGCATTATGCGACCGCATAGTGACCGCATACACATACCTTGTTCCGGAGCTCCATTTTTTGAGTTTTTAAAACCCGACCCTATTTCGTTAAATACACTATTTGGGCCATTTTTGAGACATAATCTGATATTTTAGAGTGAGAGAGAGTGCCCTAGAGTGAGAAGGCGTTCTTCAATAATTTTTCTTCAATTCTTGCTCAAGTTTTGGAAGATTAAGAAGGGAAGCTCACTAGGTCTTCATCCTAGAGGTAAGATTCTACACCCTAAACCCTAATTTTGAAATTTTCTGAAAATGGGTAACTAGCAAGATAATTTTTGGGCATAAGAGTTATTTATTTTACATGCATGTGTTATCAAAGGGTGTAGGAAGATTGTTGAGCTAGAAATGGTAAAGATTAGGTTGTGGGATGATGGAATCCTTCATAAAAAGGACCTTGAAACCTTATGCATACCTAGTAGGATTGGGTTGAAAGATATATGTTCAACAAGCATCCCAAATTCTCTATTCATGTCATGTTATCAATTGAGGATGCGTTAAAGTATGGGATGTGCATTAATAGTGTTTCGACTTTAAGTCAAGTTCAAATGAAGACTATTATGCCAAGTTTTGTGTAATATCTCTATGTGCATTAGACTCTAAATTGCTCACATGTGTACTACACACTTTGATTTGAATTGTGTTTATTGTTGATGGTGAGAATGATATTTGAAATTGATAAGGTGAGCATGAAATACTGAATGTGGCCAACGTGCCAAGAATGATCTTATAAATATAGCCACTAGTGCCAATGGAATGAAAAGATGTGAAAGTATTATGAAATGCGACGATTGATATAAAAAAGTTGATGTCTCAAATAAGACAACCTAGCCGATCGGGTCGTGATCGAACACCATACCGCACACATGATGGTGATTATGCTGGAAATTGTAATTATGGTAATTGTGATTGATATCCCTAAGGGATAGCCTAGCCGATCGGGCCGTGATCGGACTCCGTGTTAAAGACGGTAGTATTGATATTGAGAGAAATTTTGGTTGATATCTCTAATGAGATAGCCTAGCCGATCGGGTTATGATCGGACTCCGTGCTAAGAATACGGTGGTACTGATTTTATAAATAATGGTATTGTGAATAATGGTATTGTGGACAATGGTATTCGATACTAAAAATCTCCCAATGTGAGATATGGAAATTAATTTGAACAGTGTCTTGATTCTAAATTGAGGTTTGATGTTGATTAAAGCCTCCTTTGATATTATGATAATCATGTATGTATTATTTGTCATTCTATTGAGAGGGTGTTTAGTTATACATACTAGTGCTATTCGACAGTACTAACGTCCCTTTTGCCGGGGGCGCTGCATCTTTCAATGGATGCAGGTGGTTCCACAGCAGGAGATATTGATCAGTGATAGCAGTACACCTTCTTCCCAGCTGACTTGGTAAGCCTCACTTCATCCCGGGTCATGTATCTTTTGCACTTTGTGTATTCGGTTTGAGGTATAGCTGGGGCCTTGTTGCCGGCATTATCATTGTACTCTTCTTTATCTATAGAGGCTCCAAAGACATAGTGTGGGTTGTATATTGGTGCTGGGGAAAGACAAACTATGTTATATTGTGGATGTATTACTTGTCCATTTGAGACTTTAAAAATAATGAAACTATTGGAGATGAATTGGTATTATAGACATGAACACATTTTTGTCTAATTAATGATAATATGTATTATCTCTATTCATGGATGAGTTTTGGTAGAATAAAATCTAAACAGGCTTGCTCTGTCAGGTTCACTCGGTTGAACGTCGGTCGCGCTCCTCGGTTTTGGGGATGTGACAACGACATTTCACTAAGGGTCCTCGTGCTTTTAATATAACTAGTTTTAAGGTACGCGCTTTGCGCGTGTATCCTATTTCATTGAGTATAATTTTTAAAAATAACGTGACTATTATTGAATAATATATTTGAGTTATTGGACAAAAATTAAAAAATATTAGCTCTTAATAATGAATGTTGATTCAATCTAGCTAGTTCACCAAATAAATAAATCTTGTGCAATAAAAGTCTGTTATGCCATATTCTGATTTATGAGAAGTTTGGGAATATATTACGAAATTATTATTAATTTTGTTAAATTGTATTTTGAAAAATTATTACTAACACGAGATTTTGAAAAAGAATTAAATTGGATTATTTTGCTAATTAATTAATTCAAAGAGTGGATTATTTATTCTTACCATTAAAAATAATTATTTATTTATTTTTTTGCATTGGGGATTTTTATTTTATAATAATAGAGAAAATATAGATAATTTTTTTTAAACTCCTTTCGTTTTCAAACAATACTTTTCTTAATATTTAAAAACTATATTTAATAATAAATAAATTTATTAAGTATAAACCTCTCACTATCCCTTAAAATTCTAAGTTATTACCTATAAAAGAATGAATTCCTAAACATATTTGAAAGGGAAATTGCCGTAAGAAAATAGAAGGAAAAGAGAACATACTCCTAGTTCTCCCACATAATATTTAGTTTGAAATCCTAAATATTAAACTTTCTACTAATTATAAAAGGAAAGATTTCATAACCAAAGTTTTAGTTATGAGTCCTACATACTTCAAACAAGGAAAGATTTAATAAATAGTAGTATTTTAATTGATTTGAAAGTTCTATATATTAGAAAAATATTTAAATTACTATTTTGTCTAGTGTGAACTCCATTTTTTAAAGGGTAAAAAAGGCGAACGACATTTGGTTAAGGGTCTTCGTGCTTTTAATATAGTATATATATATATATATATATATATATATAAAGAGAGAGAGAGAGAGAGAGAGAGAGGTTTATGTAATTTTAAGTTTTAATTATATTTTAGTCTACTGGATTTGTTGTTGTTGTATATTTTTATTTATTTCATGAATACACTTGAAACAAGTGAGTTGCATATGGGAAAAAATCTTTATTTTTTCTCTAAACACTAAAGAAAATGAGCAATTATTACAAATATTATTCTATGTTAGGCGTGCCCTAGCAAATATTGAGAATTTAAAACTTAATTATATTATTTCATTGATAAAGATAAAAACATAAGTACTAAAACATAATTAAAACACAAGTAAGGGATACATTTGGATGGTTGTTACCAATTGTATTGTATCGTTACTTTAAATACAATGTTTGTTTTAATTGTTACTTAAATTTATTATATCGTATCGTTAAATCTGTTGTTACGTAACTATGAAAAGTACCAATTTATGAAACGATGAATTTGGTGTGGTGGCGTCGTTACATTGCTTTTCCCTCATCTTACCCTTTTTTATTATTAAATATTCATATTTTATTTTTTACCCTATTTTTTTATACAATAATTCTACTCTGTATCCTATTTTTTTTGTTGATAATATTGCAAGTTTATTTTTCATATTATTGGCGTGTGACATCATAAAACGATAATAAACGATACACTATATCTAAATATTATATTCATTAAATAATATAGTACAATACAACACCATATATTATAAAACTACGTTTAACAACCATCCAAACAAGGACTCGGGATCGGGAAAACCATAAATAGATAGACCGCGACAAACCCTCTATTTCAGGCCACGAATCGTTGGCGGACTAACTGATTTATTTTTTGAAGTTGAGAAATAACCAATCGAGGAAGCGAATTTGATTTAAATAGAAGAGATGGCCAAGGCAAAGCATCAAAAGGCCAAACCCAACAAACAATCCCATGTACGTTCCTTCAAAATAATTTAAACTCCTTATCTCTACTGTTTTCGCTCTTTGTTAATCAAATTTATTGGTGAAATCATAGTAGGTCTAAAAGATATGGGTTATACCACTTACCACATGTAAATACCAGATAAAAAACAGTCTAATTATGATGAATTGTACAGATGATTCATATAAGGGATTTCAATTAGTTTGGGATTTAAACACATTTGATTAATTTCTATATTTTTTTTCATGCCACCTTAGGCTAAGAGATTTTAGCTCACAGTGATCCAAGGGTGTGGCCTACCCTGGGAGGAGAACGGTGAGGTTTCAGGTTCAAATACTAGTAGAGGCAAAAGCATCAAGTGGTTTCTTTCATTTGCCTAAGTTTAGGTGGGCAGAGTACCTGGTACGTGTGTTGGTGGGAGGTAGCAAATTGCCATAAAAAAGTGTTGAGCTAACATTGTGTGATTCTGTCCGCTTTGGACCAAGCCTACACAGTTTTCCCCAAAAGGCCTCAGTATTCACACCTTATATGTAGCTTCGCAATCTTTGTTGTCATACACCAAACAAAAAGATTCTACTTCAGATGGTGTAAGTATGGAAATTGAGTGTGCTGGTTAATAATGTACTGAGGCTATGTGCTTTCTTTGTCTTTGTTACTGTCTTTGAGCTGAATCATGCATATGCAACAGGCTAAAAAACATGGGAAGCAGGCTGATATTTCTGAATTTCGAGCTCAGCTTGATGCATTGGGCTTAAAAATTATTCAAGTGACGGCAGATGGAAATTGTTTCTTCAGGTTTGTACTTAGTAAGATTAACCCTTTTCTACATGTTGGTCTGTATCAGAATCCGCGTGAATGCGTATGTAAACTCGATGCATGTTCATCATTGGTTTAGAAATGCATAAGATGCGACCTTAATCTATATTGAGGTTGTATATCTAAGCAATGTATTTTTATACTTAGCAAGTTCTTGAGGTTTCCATGCCACATGTAATAGTAAAGAGTGCTTACTTGAGCTTCTGAATAAAGGTTAAGCAATCATTGTATTTACGCAGGGGATTAGCTGATCAATTGGAAGGCAATGAGGAGGAGCATGAGAAATATCGGGATATGGTTGTAAAGTTTATCAGGGTACGTGTTTCTTCAGATGAATGATTTTCCTTCAGTACGCTATCAGGTGACGTGGAATTATCTCCGTGCAATCTTGTCATTCAATGCAAGATACGCTCAGGATACACCTAGGAACAATATTTGGTAGCTATCATGTTGGTGTTGTTTGTAGTTTGGTTATGAATATCCTGTTGTATTAAAAAAATAGGGATAAAAGGGATATTGAGGTTAAAATTAAATTTTGAAATAGAGGGGTTACCGCGTAATTAGCAAAACCTGAAAATTACAACGAATAATAAAGCCTACGATGCTTGGGATAGGAAGTAGGAGGAATTAGAAGGTCTGAAACTCGGAATGAATTAGGGATCTGGAATCATGAAATTTCACAGCTACCAGCCAGGGTTTCATATGAGATTCCGAAGGAAGAGGGCAAGGGGGAGGAGCAAAATTGAAGTTGTCTTGTTTCGAGATTTCGAAGAGGAAGTTGATTTAGGTTAAAAAAAAATAGTAATACAAGAAAGAACACAATCTGGCTTTATTCTCAAAGTTCGCATCTTTTGATGGTAACTGTATTTGAAATGAGCTCCGTAATCAGTATTCGTATCCAAACTATATAGCTTAAGGTGTTGTTTACAAGTGGTAGGATTTTTAAGCTTATTAATAGTTGAGAAAACCTTAATTAAAACAATCAAACTTCACTAAGAGGATTCATATAATTAATCCCAATTAGTTTGGTATTAAGGCACAAATGATTGGTATTGATAGATGGATTTTGTGAAAAGTTTATATAAGGATGTAATGTCTAACTTAGTTGAGACTCTTACTGGGATGGGGTCAATTACAGTTCTACTGAGAAGTAACGTCATTTTGGCAAGGCAAGAAGAAGTAGCTTAGAAACTTAAGTTTCTTCTACAACTGTTATTTTTAATTTTCCTTTTCTTTTTTTTTCCTCTCTCAAGTGTCTGCCTTTATTTTCCCCTTAGGGTTTTGGCCTAGTGGTAAAAGCATAACGGGTAAAGTGTGGGTTAGACGGACATCACGAGTTAGAATCCTACGCAGACAACAAAGCCTGGCATTTAAGTGGAGAAGGGTAGAGGGGTCAGACCCGTTATCCATTGAGTTTAGAATCATGCACCAGCTGGCCTCAGGGATTTCTTGGTTATAATAAAGAAAGAAAGAAAAGAAAGTGTCTACATTTGCTCTCTTCTCTGAGCTTATTCCTAATAATTTGTCAGCAAAGCTGCTGACACTGTCAATATTATCTATATTATACTCTGGCATGAAGGCGGGAAGGACTGAGCCATGCTTGTGACATATGTACTATGTACTACTTTTGTCATATGGTTCTATCCTATGACTAATGTGAAGGGTGGTCGGGGAGAGGAGCGTTGGAATCTCTGCTCACAGTCCAATATGTCTGCACATTAGTCATAGGATAGAAATATTGCAGGGTGGGCCGGGGAGAGGAGTGTTGGAATCCTATGACTATATGCTATGTTCTAATTACTATTGGAGTGTTTTCTTCAGTTTCAACTTAGACTGCAAAATTATTTATCTATTGATTTTTTTAGGACATTTGGTATCAAGTGTTCTTTTTTGGTCCGTTTATCTAGCCACGTCTGGGCAGATAACGACTTTTTGAACAAATAATTGTTCTGATAGTTATGATGTTAGCCAAATGCTCTCGTATATGAAGATATTACTTGTTTCCAACAAGCTCTTTTGATTTAGAAATGTATAGCAAAAATTGCTAATAACCTTTACTGCAACCTCCAAGGCATTACTTTTCTCTTTAGTTTTTGTATATCCTAGTTCTGCTGTTACCTCCAAGATTCCTAGAGAAGTTCCCTGGAGATGCCTGGAGGCAAAAGGTGTATCGGTTCCCTACATTATGGCGATTAAGGACATGTATGATGGGGCTAAGACTCGGGTTAGGACAGTAGGAGGCGACTCTGAGCAGTTTCCGGTTGTAATGGGGTTACACCAAGGTTCTGCGCTCAGTCCGTTCTTATTCGCCCTCGTGATCGACGCGTTAACACACCATATTCAAGGGGAGGTGCCATGGTGCATGCTATTTGCCGATGACATAGTTCTGATTGATGAGTCGCGAGCCGGTGTTAATGAGAGGCTAGAGGTTTGGAGACA